GATCCGGATCCAATTAATTATTTAATTAATTAATTAATTAATTTTGTCACTTAATTAATTAATGAAAAATTTCACATTGAGAGAATTCAGCTGCCTTGACGGAGGTCTGTGCTCTCCGAGTGCTCTAGTTTATATATACAATGGCAACATCAAATCAGCAAGCTAAATCCACGCGGGGAAACTCAGTAGAGCTATGCCCCGTAGAGGCTGTCCATGCAGGCCTCTTCTTCACACATGTCCAAAATATTTATATTCTGCTACATAAAAATAGAGAGAATATAAAATTTTTAGTGGATGTTTAACTTACGGCCACGACAACAAGGAGAACTGCAACGTAGGATCCTTTCCTTGAGTTACAGTTTTCAAGATTCGAAAACTATCGTGGCACACATAAACCAGCTTTTAATCGCATACATGAGGCAGCGATTATCGGTTAATTGTCGTCCGATAGGCCTACGTCCGATAGGCCTACGTCCGATAGGCCTACGTCCGATAGGCCTACGTCCGATAAGCCTACGTCCGAACGACCGAGCGTTTGGCGAGTAAAAGCCGTTCGCGTGCTTTTCTATGAAAGACGAGAATCAGACCATGCTTTGCCTTCGCCAGGATCTACCGTGTTTATAAACAAGGAAAGTTACAACTGAGCTAGCTAGCTCTACTTCTGAGGCTAATCGCTGTAGAATGCGTTTGTCAATGACACATCCATGGGTGACAGTATCGTGACTCGGACCTATAACACAGCAAATCGAATCTCTATAAATGCTAATTTTATTTATTACATATTTCGGATTAGGAAATAAGCTATCGATTGCTGCCTGGGCAAAGGTACCCAGAAAATTATTGTACAGAATATATTGTCGCTGAGTCCGCCTTTTTACATGTTTTCAATTCATCAGCTAGTAGTTCTTATATGGTTATTTTACATAGTAAATTAATTGTTAAAACACAGTGAATTTGCTGCAATCTGTGCAAGCGGTACCCAAAGAGCTTATTCGCCCTGCAATCGTGAAATGTTGCCCCACCCCACCCAGTCACGCATTGAGCGCGCAAACCAATACAAAAAAAGAGCATGCAAGTGTCATTGAACAAAGATTTATGTTTAATTCATATATATATATATATATACACACGGAAAGTTTCCAATTTCTCGTAATATACGTGCCAATCTCAAGACCTTAGCGTATATAGACCGGCTCGGAATGATGGCGCAGTTTCAAGACTGCATCAGTGGAATTTTATATTTGTCATCTGAAGAGCATTGGCATGATTTAACATGTGGATGAATCTAGGCATTAAATTCGTGTTATCCGACGTGAAGGGGCAAAAAGGTTCGTCGATAAATCCTATAGCCAGGATATAGCAAAGCCAAGCTTGGTTTAGTGTCTGTATCCGTATCCTCCGGAGCCACGTCCGTATCCGCCATATCCTCCGTAGCCACGTCCGTATCCGCCATATCCTCCGTAGCCACGTCCGTATCCGCCATAGCCTCCGTATCCACGTCCGTATCCGCCGTATCCACCATAGCCTCCGTATCCGCCGTATCCTCCATATCCGCCGTATCCTCCGTAGCTACGGCCAAGACCTGAGCCGTATCCCCCGTAGCCACCATACGAGGCAGCAGCTAGGCCGAGCATCTGTACAATAACAGTACAGGCTTACGTGTTATGTATCACGCGTGTGCGGCGTTAGTTTTATTTACAACGTTTTTTAACGTGCACTTTTCAGCAATGAATACAGCGTTTGAACAAAAATAAATGCACACCAAAATATTTATATCAATTATATCAAGAGTTAATAATAACAAATGTCATTCTTAACCCCTGATTATATCAAAATCATTGCTAACTTTGTGTAGCATCTTCTATTCTTCTTAATGAAACTTTTTTATATATACAATGGCAACATCCAATCAGCAAGCGAAATCCGCGTGGGGAAACTCAGTAGAGCTATGCCCCGTAGAGGCTGTCCAGGCCTCTTCTTCACACATATATATATTATGCTACATAAAAATAGAGAGAATATAAAATTTTGAGTGGATGTTTAACTTACGGCCACGACAACAAGGAGAACTGCAACGTAGGTCTTCATTTTGGGTTTTTTGTTGGTTGGGTAGTTCTGAAAATACAAAAGGCGATAAGAGTATAGACACGGACTTCGAAGAGCTACGCCATGAAATAAAATGAAACGCTACAAATACATTCTAACACAATTGAAAAAGCATTCGGTAGCAAACTAATATTATGCATTTGTAAGCCTTCCACATGATACTAGATCGCATTGAACGTATGCATACACGCTGGTACTATATATTATATGCTACTATACATAGTACTACTAAGCGTTACAGACAAAACTCTTACCTGAAGCTGCAGGTGCTGGAAGATAAGTGATCCATGCATCTGACTATCTTCCTTTTAAAGCGCTTGCAACTTCCATGACCCTATTCCATACCCATCGCTACCAACAATTACCTTGTGTTCCTCCGCACACAAGTGCTATCAGTAATTATAGATGATATATAAGCCTGTTCATATAATTACACGCGCGACGGAGTAGTCGTGCGGATCAAATAGTCTTATCACTCCCCGCACAGTCAAGGGAACGACTATCCCATTAACAATACAATAACCTAGCAAATATAGTTTCTACGTTTTTCTAATTTTATCCCCTAATTTTCCTATTTTTTGTTCGCGGCCTTGATTATAAATAGCAACGTCATTATAGGTGTGGATCGTGTGGTTGACAATAACTGACACTAACTCATTTTGACTTGCCAGTTTTTGCTTTGTACAAAAGAACCCCTATCAAATTATTGGAAGTATGCTCCCGTCTATTTATATTTACTATGATCAAATCAATAAAACTTGATAAATATACCGCATTTTAAGTTATGTTTGGCACCGCCCAATATAAATACGTATGTCTGACGATAATATACACCATATATTGCGATATAACTTTTTACTTCGATTTTATATTAGACTGTATGCATAGAACAATTATATTATAATTTAATTATTAATTTGCGGTTTGATGCACAGCTCAACGCCTACCAATGTAGCTTTTATTGATATTGGTTGAGCGACGCGGAAAAGAAGCCTGGAGCTTCTCGTCAGAAAAATAAATATTTGTGACTGTCGTAAAACTAAAATGTCATAACGTTTGCACAACACTTCACTTAAAACTTTGACATTTCAGACTCTTGGCGTCATAATTATTTATGTTTCTAGCATGGCTCCCAGGTATTTACAACCTACAATTTTATTTTTTACATTACAAAGGCTTCTTTCACGTACGCTTTAGAATGTGCATTTTTACAGTATGTCGAAGCAAAAACTACCTCTTTCCTTATGTATGTACGCGTGGAGTGTTAATTTTTCCCAAAACTACCCTATTTACATGTTTTGTACCCGAAATTGGATACTATGTTTTATTGAGTGACCCCCGGGACAGCACTATGGATTTATCCGTTACTATCGAAAAATCGCGATAATACACCAATAGCTTTGAAATCCAAATAAATATCAAATCACTATATAATTTTTATTATCTTGTAATTAATTGTAGTTAAATGTCCAGGCCTTATTTTCTATGTATATATTTCAGAAATACAAAATCACCCGTATCTTTTATAAAACTACAGCAAACTACCAAATCTTATATTGAGCTATATAAGAGTTGAATACATAATTAAGAGTTTATGATAATGACTCTGAATATGCAGCACACCAGCTCCCTATGACAAATTTAAAACAACAATATAGTTGTACTCTGTGAAACAACACCACTGAGCATTCATTCAGTAATACATACTTTCGCTTCTGTAATTCAAATACAAAAAGCCACGCTGACCCACATAAGAACAGCCGCGAATTCAGTTAATAGGATCATTTAGCCAAATCAATGACATGTGTTGTTAGGTTGACCTTGGTGGCTGGAAACTACCAATCTGACAAAGTGTGGCTAAATTACTGACAATCGCAATGTAAGTAAAGAACACAGCTGGTCTAGCAATTTTTTACGGCGACTATGTTGTTTGCTTCATGCAAACAGAAACGACACATTACAGTCCTTGCTAACTGGTTTTGTTGATGGCATATACATTGCCTGGTTTTTTAAGAGCCAACTCAACATGTTACTGTAAATTGTAAAATCACTTCCATATTTAAAATAAAATTATATTGAACGAAATATTGGTTTCCAGCTAAACTGACAATCACTATTATACACACACTGGACAATCCATTGCAACATTAGCCGGTAATGGCATTCTTGCACTATATAATTAGCAATTCATTAGAACTCCTATCGTGATTGCTCCTCTCTCACTTTGCAGTTATCTTTATTGACTATGCAGTTTTTCTCTTGTCACGTAGTTTGTCTACTACTTGTCTGATAGCAGTTATGTCACATGGAGTTACTCTGCAGCAGCCACCGATCCAGCGTGCTCCTAGGTTTACCCAGTCCTCCACATAATGGTCGAGTGGGATGCACGACCCTCTCCCTGACCACCTGCCAAAAATAACCATAGCATTTTGCACGGAAGTAGAATCTCGAAAATTCTTTCTTAAGTGCTATAGGTAGAAATGTGCGATCTGTGCTAGAATGCTTTGAATTCTTTAATGCTATGTTTATTGTAATCAATAAATTATAAAGTTTGTCAATCATGGCAGGGGAACGATGAATATATAGACGTACCCTTTCTGTGCTTGCCAGTCTTCACCGCTGTTTGGATAAACGATGATCGGTTTACACGGAGGCAAGTCGCTAACACTGGTTAACAATAGTGAAATATATTTTGGCTGAGTGCAATTGATGCCCACTGCAGCGACCTGGTCATATTGCATGCAAATATTGAAGGCAGCAGCAAATGAATCCCCATGGCTAGTGTGGCAGCCATCCTATAAAGAAAGGCAAATGTGGAACTAATCTCTCGGCATACGGCACATGCAAAAGAATATGATCCACGTTTGAAACGGACCCACATGACGGGAACACGGAAAGAAGGGAAGAGATTAATGTGAAAATAGTATGAAATGTTGAGAATGAGCACTATAAACCAGTCTTAAATATTATTCATGACCTGGGGTCATCGCACGAAAACGAGGCTGAGCTAGGCAATTTTGTAAACAATGGCTGCTCAGGCAGGCACGCACAGAGGTGGTACACGCACGTACACGCACGTACACGCAGATACACGCACGTACACGCGGATACACGCACGTACACGTACACGCAGATACACGCACGTACACGCGGGTACACGCGGGTACACGCACGTACACGCACGTACACGCGGGTACACGCACGTACACGCGGATACACGCACGTACACGCGGGTACACGCACGTACACGCGGGTACACGCACGTACACGCGGGTACACGCACGTACACGCGGGTACAAGCACGTACACGTGGGTACACGCACGTGCACGCAGATACACGCACGCACACGCACGTACACGCGGGTACACGCACGTACACGCGGGTACACGCACGTACACGCGGGTACACGCACGTACACGCAGGTACACGCACGTACACGCAGATACACGCACGTACACGCAGATACACGCACGTACACCCGGGTACACGCACGTACACGCAGGTACACGCACGTACACGCAGATACACGCACGTACACGTGGGTACACGCAGATACACGCACGTACACGAGGGTACATGTGTAGTATAGACGCTTCGCCACTTCAAAAGCATGCCAATTTAGAAACAACCTTGTGACATACAAATTCCTCGATGTTCGGCGATCATAAAAACAGCAATTTCCGCAGGTATAGGGCCCTTAATGAACCTATACCGGGGGTAGAATTTTATGGCCGCCGTCGTGAATGGGACGCGCGACAATTAAGCTAGCGACACACTCGGGTCTCCCTTCTTCTACCACGTAGTTCATCTTTTCGCCGCCTCCTACGTTTTCCGATATCTGGTATCTGTGCCTTTCCTGAGCCTATTCTCCAGAACCTTACCCCGCCGAGTGATTTCGGAGCGATCTGCATACGAAGGTAATCTTTTACGTTATACTCGATACGCGCGCGGAGAGGCGACATACGAGTCGCCACTCTCTCGATAACCTCGTATGCGGATCGGGCGTGGCACGCGGCGAGTACAGCTACCATATTGCACGCGAGTAGATATTTTGTTAGTGTTTATAGTCTAATCTAATACACGCACGTAGAGTGAATCTCACAATTCTGTGTTTTTGTTATTCATCGACGCTACAAGTCAGCTACCCTTAAAGGAACAGTAGCCTCTAGGTTCTAGGGTTATTATCAGCTAATTTAGGTTATAATTGCGCTACATAAAAAGTTTCATGGTTCAATCACCATTAGAAATATTTTTTTTAAATGTTTTAAAGGAACAGTAGCCTCTAGGTTCTAGGGTTATTTTCAGCTAATTTAGGTTATAATTGCGCTACATAAAAAGTTTCATGGTTCAATCACCATTAGAAATATTTTTTTTAAATGTTTTAAAACTAACGACTACAGTTTGATTACAACGACGGTGGCGCCACTCAAAGCGCACGATCTGATAAGTTGCGCAAAACCACTTTCCAGCCAAGGGCTATGTGATGTATCCGCATTATGTAACAGCCTGTAATGTAACCTTATTTGTTATGCACGCATGCGCAGTGGAAAATATATTG